CTGTCAGTGCGCCCCAGTGCAGCTGTGGCTACATCGTAGCTCATCGCCACCAGGGTGTGGATGTGTGGATGTGTTGTGAAGCGCCTTGGGGGGTTGTACAAATACAATACAGGTCATTTACTTTGTAACGTGTGTTAACTTCACTGAACGAAGGGATGATTTGTGCTTAATCTTCTGTTTGTGGACAAAATAAAGCCACAACTTTTCAGGGATGAACAACAAACAGGAACATATAAAACATGACATGATAAATGTTGCTGCAGTCAGAGATGAACCACCAAGTTCTGCTGGACTTGGCTTTAGATCCTGAAGTTCTACATTCGGTTTCCAGCTGAGATGTTTAAAAGCGAGTCTCTGCCGTCTGAAGCCCTCTAACGGTGGAGGTGTTCCTCCAGCCGTGACGAGCAGGGCGATGATGGAGAGGCATTGCGGATGTGGAGGGAGTGAAGGCTATAATTTAGCCAGCTACTCAGAAACGGTGCGAGAGTGCCAGGTTGTGTAAATTCATGGTGGAGGAGCCGTCGCAGCTGCTGCTCATCTCTGTGTCTGAGCAGCTCTGCTGGCGGGTCCTGTTCTCAGATACAAGCTGCTTTCTCATCTGAAACCACCATTAATCAAGAACGTTAACGCTGTCTAGCCGCTGCCGAGCGGCGTGCCCTCGTTCTAACGCACACTTTCTAATAAGACCTGTGGTATGTGGATAGAGGGAATCCGTTCCGGGGAGACGGGGGTGTTGGTGGAGCGTGCCTGTGTAAAAATGTTAATAGCCTAAACGTTCCAACAGATCCAGAATCCATTCTCCTCGCTGAGCCGCATCGCCGTAAAAGGAGCTGATAACATTCTGGTGTCCTTGGACATTTTCCCATTTTTAATCCAACACGTGGACTCTCTGAAGCTTTTGCCCAACTGCAGTTGCTGCGGCTCACACATCCTCACCCGCCTGGTCGGAGCTCCCGTTAACGCCCACGTGCAGCCGGCCGGCAGCCTTCCCCGGGCCGCCCATCAGCAGGCGAGCTCTGCTCAGAATGATCGTCCTTGAGAAACGATCACTTTTCACTTAAAATGACTTCCATCTTCCTGAGATGAGCACTGAGATGACCGTTACCGCTCAGAGGTCAAAGGTGCCGCCACACTGAAAGCACGTCAGCGGGCCCTAAATCATGTTTCTCTGTGACGGGCTGATCAGTAGCCTGATGATGTCACCGGCCAACAAAGCTGATGAATAGATTCCTCCGTCAGATGCATTTTGTCACCATGGAAACTGTAAATCTGACAGCGCTCAGAAGGACATCAACCCAATAATTCACCGTGAATATTTCTGATGTTTTCACGCTTGATTGTGAAGTTGAAGAGCGACGCTCTGAAAACTGTAATCCCTGCAAACCGGATCTTCAGCCCGTGTTTAACGGCGTGATTGAGGAAGAGAAACAGCAGCTGACGTGAGTGACTGCTTTATTTGAAGTCACGCGAGGCGTTCGGTGGCGTCCTTGCTGAATTTTCAGGATTTGCATGGATCTGGCTCTTTTTTCTCCCACTTCGGTTCTTTGTGTGAACTCAGAATAGCTGCTTGATTGAACTTCAGGCTCCTCAGAACAAATTGGACCTGACAGCTCAAACATCTTCTTCAAACTTTCAGCCGCAGCCTCAAACCCGGCTCACAATTCAGTGCTTTGACTAAACCTCTGATTATTTTGGCTCTCCTCAGAGGATTCACCAGCCGTAAACTGATTTATAACGTTAAATGTTACAAAGAGGGTCTGCGTATGAAAATAAAACGTCTCTATGATGGCTTTGTGCTGATGCCTCTACAGGAGTCAGCTTGAAGCAGATCGGATGGTAGAAAACAGAAACCAACACGATCCGAGTTGGTTTCTGGTCCACAGCAGATAATTTATGGATGAAGATGATCCGGCACACAGATTCTCCTCTGAACATCAGATCATTATAGTTCAGCAGCAACAAAAACTACAGTTACTGCTAAACGCAGGTGTTTAAATCCAGGATTTATCCACATCCATAAAGTCTAACAACAGTCTAAAGTTGTATTAATTTATACAGTTAACTCCTTCACTGCCAGCGTTTCTCACCATTTTTACTGTTTTGTTAAGAGTCACACAACGTTGCGCGCTAGGATGACGCAAACAGAACCAAAACAACCAAAACAAAGCGGAGACTCACCTCTTACATCAGGAAGAATCTGCGTGTTTCGAGCGTTATCCGTTCTTTCGTAATCCGTTGTTGAATTGTGATCGACAGAAGCTTTTCCGGTTCGTGCCTCACTTTTTTTACAGCAGCGGCCCAAAACGATCTCCTAACACATGGATGTTCTGCTTCCTGATCACGTGACGTGTGACGTATGTGGATGAAGATCGGCTTTAGAGTTGAGATGTTTGTTCTCTCAGCACGGGGGCTCGTCCGACGCTCAAACAGTAAAAAAATGCGTTGTCAGTGAACGGTTGGATCTAAAATGACGACTGTGGTCGTCATTGGCAGTGAATGAGTTAACATAAAGTTCCCAAGTTGAAAAGTGACTTTTAGATTTTAATTTGATAAATATTCACTGTGAGCTGCGACCAAACCCTCGAGGGTCAATCACCGCTTAACAACTTGAGCAAACTTAACAATGTATTAAATTAAATCGATAAGCTCTGCAGATGCTAGGCTACATACAGGAAACTAGCAAGGGCGTCACTGGCTGGAAGTGGTTCCCAACAGAAACCCTGAGTCGCGTTGTTTGTGAAAACATGGCCGACAGTCGAGCATTTGTGATGTCTTTTAAAAAAGATTGTTGGACATATTGACCGACAATCTTATTCTCTACTAGGAATGCAAAGGGCATACTTGTCTGGGATCTCCTGCCATCAGTGCAGCCATCTCTCTAGTGTGTTTATGTATTTCAGAGATTTTATCAAACAGAAAATTTGTCCTCCGCCTCTTCGTCCAGTCGTGACCTCTAAACTCACACTCCCCTTAATTTCCTGACACGAATAAAAAGTTTTTCACGAACGATTGTATTCATTCAGTCGCTGGTGCACCAATGCTTATGTCATCAAACTTCTTCCTCAAGACGTTCTTCAATCTGCGTTGTTTATGTCACTAGATATGTTCAGTTCTTGTTTTATTTTTGGGAGGGGGGTGCTCTAGACGACGGAAGGAAACAGCGCCCAATCACAGGGTTGCTCTCCCTTTCAACTGATGGCTAGTACAGTGGGCTCTACTTCGCCCGTCCTTGCTAGCCTGCTGGAGGACCTTTACCATGACCGATAATGGTGGTACGTGTGCCCTCACCGATGCAGACGGAGAATCATAAATTAGGCTTTATAAACAGCATCGTTGTCAGTATGATGGTGAGTTCTAATCTCAGATCGTGTCACTAATAGATGGTGGGTATGATCGGTTCATAGCTTCAACCAAAACAGCGAAAAAGGCTCTTTGTTTAAATTCTGGCATAAAAAGTGTCAGAGAGAAACAAAACCGGTGTTTATTACCAGAACCCTTAGTTTTGTGGACCTGACCTGCCTGCAGGTTAAGCAGTTACTGGAGCATGAAGACGACATCCTGAGTGTTTTGGTTTTGTCATCTTCATGGGGGCGGGGCTTACTGAGCACATCAAACACAGATTTGACATTTTTTAAACAATAATCAGGTTTAACCTTCAATTAAAACATTGTTTAAATAGTTTAATTGTAAAGAGTGACGAGTTGTGATGTTCGCATCTGCGGGAGTTTGTGTCGCTGCAGCAGTGTTGGGAGTAACGCGGTACAAAAGTAATTAAGTACTGTAATGCATTGCTTTTGCTGTAATGTGGTAATGTAAGGCATTACAGGGAAAGAAAACGGTAATATTTACTCGGTACAAGTGTCAGTAACACGGTAATTACAACGCATTTTTAAACCCAGAATCAAGATGTGGGAATCCTAAAAATTCAAATTGCAGGAAGCCTGAAAAAAGATCCAGTATCCACATATATGACGTCATTTATGGACTCAGCTTTGCGGGCGTTCTCTGAGCAGAGAGGACGCAGCGGTAACGGCTCAAACACTCCAGCTGCGTCCTGCGCGCGGCCGCTGTTATATTCACAAACCCGCTCCACCAAAGCCAAGTCATTCGTTTGCGATCGTTTATATCAGCCCATATTCTCTGGTACTTCATGTACTTTTCAGCTGATTCATAATCTGTGCCCCGGTGATTTCAACTCATTGCTGCTGGAGCGCCGTGCATGTGAAGATCCCGTTGGCTGATTAGTTAGAAAGTAGGAAGTCTAGGAAACAGTTTTTCTGGAAGACGGAGAAAACATGCAGCATGCAGGAAGGTTAGAGAGAGAAAGGGCCGGAAATTATTCACATAAAATCAAGAAAAAAAGAAAAAAGTAGGTAGATTTATCCCCAATACACACATGTTTACCAGTGAAAAGCAATAATATATAAGCATTTAATATTTATACATGTGATAGAATCAGATCACCCCAGAAGTCAGTCCCACATCCAGGGCCGTATCAAGGCATTTGGGGGCCAAGGCTAATATAGGCTTGGAGCCCCCACCACCTCACTCCCTGCTCAGGTAATCTAAGATGGCAGCGTGCTGAGAGTACAGATTGTTGTTGTTTTTATTTAGTAAACAATCATTTTAAAGCACTGTTATTATATCTGACTGTTTATAACAGCAACCCTAGCTCAGACACCACATCACCTTCCACATATATGTCATGAGCTCACTGAGCGTCACATGACCAGATTCATACTGAAGTTGTTTTGGTGAAAGTTACTGAGAGTAATGCAAAAGTAGTGTAATGCCTTACATTTTAAAATCAGTAATATTGTAATGTAATGAATTACTTTAAAATGAGGGTAACAAGTAATAAATAACGCGTTACAGTTTGGAAGTCACTCGCCCAACACTGTCGCTGCAGCGATCTCATGTCTGAATTCTCAGGGGGATTGCTCCTAATTGCAGCAGGAGATTCACCAAGACCTCATCAGACCTTTCTGATTACATTTCAGGTCAACCGACTACGGAGCGACGTACCAGAAGCTGAACGACAAAGTGGGAGCCAAGACGATCCTCAGTTATCTGTATGTGAGCCCCAACAACAAGAGGAAGGTAATGTGCTGCTTTAGTCGTCGTCTCTGAACTGAAGTACCTCTAGTCTGTCCTCGTTGTTTGTCTGACATACGATGGTGTCAAATACGTCACACATATTACTGTCCTCACCTGGTGTCATACGGGCGTGTGATGATCATCCCGGTCTAAACGGGACCGTTAACATAACGACAACTAACGGGCTTACCAAAGGATAATTCACTCTCCATATTTGGCCTAATTGATGGTTGGAATAATAAAACTTCACATGACTTCTCTTTCATGACCATAATCAAGAAGGGCAATTGAATCCTCGTGTAATTATCGGCTGCTGAAGGGTTCAGGTTTGGGGTCACTGATGATCCACGTTATTTATGTTCAGATGGATTTCAGAAACATCCGAAAACGGGAAGTTTACCGTCAGACAGCATCATCTCTTTCTACATGCAGGCTGGAAAAATGAAATGAAATCAATAAAGGCAGATTTTACGTCTCAGATGTGAACATTTTGCACCAAACATGTTTTTCTCATCACAGATTCATGGATGCTGCTCCAAAACAAACAACTGTCCCACATTTCATCCTGAATCGGAGCGCATTCATTATTATTTCCACTGTCCGTGTGACACATCTGATGTGAAATGATAATAACATCATGAAGCAGGTCTCCACAAACAGCAATTAAAGGGAAGCATGTAAACTCTGCTGGGAGGTTTGCATTAGCATATAGAAGGTCAGACTCTGGAGCTAGATTTGAGCTTGGAGGCTCCGCCTCCTGCTGTGTACCACGATTGTTGCTCGTCACCAAACGGTGAAATATCTTCATTGTGTCTGCGTTTCTGTTTGTGCATGTTTTAGTGAGCAGACCCCTCTTCAGGCACTCGAGCCATTCCCTCCAATTCTGACTTCCGTGCTCTGGTTGCCAGTTTGAGGATTGGTATTTTTATTGTTGTTTTTAAATGTTTGAATGCCTTTGCACTAGTGATGGGACCTATGTTCATTCTAGAGCTATTCAACTCAAAGAGTCGTTCAAAAGACTGACTCTTTTGAACAAAGCGGAACCATCTCCATGTGGGGTAGCAAAGTGTCACCCCCAATGTCCGTGGAGGCGGGGGTGGGTGTTACGGAAGACGAACAGTTCTCTAGAATGACTCGGCTCTCGTCATTCACCTTGAAGAGCCATTCAGAAGATTTGGTTCATTCATGAACGTCACATCCCGTCCTTGCACCCTCTTCCTTGTCCGAACTTTTAAAACGACGAGTTCCCAAGAGAGTCCTGAGATCTGAATCTCAGCTGCTCCTGGATGTTCCCATGATCTCATCTCGTAACCCGGGGCGACGGAGCTTTGTCTGTTGCTGCTCTCAAATGATGGAACGTCCTTCCTCTTGGTAAAAGGATGGCCAGCATGTTGGATGATTTTAAATGTCTTTTAATGACCCAGTTTTAGTTGGTTTTTAACACCAGCTGATGAGAACCTGCCAAGCCACCTTGTCTCAGTTTATTTTAGGTTTTCTTATTTGAGTCTTTTATCAGGTTTTTGTTTTCTTACTGAATGTTCTTGACTGGACTTTGGCCTCTTTGCGATGTGTAAAGTGCACTAAAAATAAAAGTGGTTATTATTAGTTTTAGTGTTATTAATAATAATGATTACATTATTATTATTATTATTATTATTATTATTATTATTATTATTATTATTATTATTATAATAAATGAAACTGGATGCACTGTGGCTGCACAGTGGCACAGTGGTTAGAGCTGTTGCCTTGCAACAAGAAGGTCCTGGGTTCACTTCCCAGCCTGGGATCTTTCTGCATGGAGTTAGCATGTTCTCCCTGTGCATGCATGGGTTCTCTCCGGGTTCTCCGGCTTCCTCCCACAGTCCAAAAACATGACTGTTAGGTTAATTGGTCTATCTAAATTGACGTTAGGTGTGTGTGTGTGTGTGTGTGTGTGTGTGTGTGTGTGTGTGTGTGTGTGTGTGTGTGTGTGTGTGTGTGTGTGTGTGTGTGTGTGTGTGTGTGTGTGTGTGTGTGTGTGCATGATTGTTTGTCCTGTGTGTCTCTGTGTTACCCTGCGATGGACTGGCTCTCTGTCCAGGGTGTAATCATCGACATATACATATATGGACAATGGGTTTCCATAGGCTCCAATAACACGTTTTTGAGGCCAAATGGGAGGTGGCCACCACCGCCATTTTGACCGTGTCACAGGTTCCGTCAAGCCCAGACAATTCCATAAAAGGGAAGAGAGGAGGAGCTGAGGGTGGGGCTGTAAGGCTGGGATCAACTGACGACACCCGGCCGAACTAGCTACAAGCTAACCTGAAGCTAACCCAAAGCTAACGGGGAGGTGGGAGCTAAGCTAACGGAGGTAGCAACCTAGCTACAACCGGAGTTGTGTACAACACCAGAGCTTCTGAGTCAGAGATACGCCGGGCTGACCGCTGGGTAAAACTGGGAGGAACACAGAGGTCTCCGAGAGCTCCACAAGCCGGCAGCCGCACAGCAGACAAGCGCCGCTGCGATCTGAGGTGCGCAGAGCTGCCGCTGGGGAGAACCGGGTGGAAAGGTTTCCATCCCAGAGCTCCACAAGTCGTCAGCCCGCGCAGCAGACAGAAACCGCGATCAGACAGAGATGCGCCGAGCTGCGGGGAGGGGAGAACGGGTGGAACACAGAGGTCTCCCGAGAGCTCCACAAGCCGATAGTGGGAACCCAGCTCCACCAACATGTTATATTTCAGCCCATTTTCTAAAGTGCAGCATTATGTTAAATGCACTGGGTTTTACCCTATTACATTTACATTTCATGGTTAAACAGTACATGTTAAAATCTAAGCTCAGCTCGGCAGTGACCTAAAATACATAAATATAATTTTACTTACCGAAAAAAATGAAGTGGAGACTCCTTGGATGCTCTATTAGTGCAATTAATGCCACAGCAAGTCATTTTGTCCAACAATTGCACAAATAATATCCAAACAAGAATACACAAACACAGAGACTCAAAATCCCAGAACAGTTTCCAGGCCAGACCGAGGCTCTACTGAGGCCTTTCCACGGAGCTAGCTCTGTGGTCACGTGGGTCTGATGCTCATTAATTATACAGAATTTTAGGCTTTTAATACACTTAAACAGAAGAGTGAGAAAAACATTCACCCCCCTCAGAGTTGTCATGAGTGTAAACTAGATCATTTAAACCAAAAACATGTTCTGGTACCAGGCTGTAAACATGTTTATTTCTGCTGTCAAATTGGTATTTTTAACATGGGAGTCAATGAGGATTTGCTCGCTTCTGACACCAGCCCCTAGTGGATGAGGGTGGAACTGCAAATTTTGGTACTTCCGGGATTGCTTCAATTTTTCGAGCGAGGTCTAGCTGCGGACGCAGCCCCGGCCAAACACACCCCTATGTACAAAACAGGCGTGCATGTACGAAGACGAGAACTCGCATGCGTGTTGCAACAGATGGAAATGACGGTTCAGGTAAAGACAGATTTATATTTTTACAACTTGCGAAGATTTTGTACTAGAAGTTTGAACGTTTAAGACATATTTTGATTGATAGCGCAATCGTAATTTTTTCTGAAACACTTTTATATAAAATTAAGCATTATTGGCAGTGGGGGAAGACGTCATGGACGCACATTTTTTAATATAATTTTTAATGGGCTACATGCAAGCCTTTTGGCCAAAATAAACGTAACAATAGGCTATTTATTTGACCGTTTATGACTCCTCATCTAATAAGCAGCAAACTCACGACGGCAATGTGGTAGCCCTAAAATTGTCGCGCTCAGACGTGTAAAATCTGTTAAAACGTGTAACAGAAAATTCCCTTTAAAGCCATTCAGATATATTTTTACATGTCAACATTTACATGTATTATAGTTTTTTTTGACAAATAGTTGCGTGTATAGCATCCAGGAAATATTAGTCTGATGGTAACGTGGTGTCCACGACAAAAAATGGTCTTGGAAGGACAGGTAAAAATAAATTGTAACCTAACTTTTCCCTGAAGTTAATTCAGATATATTTGTACATGCCCACAGTTACATGTGAAATTGTTATTTGACAATTACATGTGTAGTTCAACAGAAAACATCCCAGCAAATATTGGTCGGACACGACGTCACGTCCATTGCCAGAAGCTGTCGCCATAGAACGGCTTAAATTGGTAATATATATATATATATATATATATATATATATATATATATATATATATATATATATATATATATATATATATATATATATATATATATATATATATATATATATATATATATATGTCACTGAACATTTCCTAGAATCGATTCAGATACATGTGTGTATGCAAGAAACAAAAATAATCTCACTGGGGATGGGTTAGGGTTAAATTCATATTTAAACCTGGAGTCCTGTCTGTTTAATTACATCATTACTGTTTCTTTATTTATTTTCTTTCAATTGTGTTGTTCGCTGGGAGGGCCGCCGTTATTGAGCTCGGGGGTAGCTCAACAGGGGGGCGTGTTTGGCCGGGGCTACGTCCGCAGCTAGGTATTATTGAATTTTTCACCCACATTGTGGGGGCTTGGTTGTACCCCGCCTGATTGCCCATTGACCGCTGGAGATAGGCACCAGCCCCCCGCGACCCTACGTGGACAAAGCGGGTTCAGACACTGGATGGTTGGTTGCAATATGCTACAGTGGTTAGCGCTGTTGCCTTGCAGCAAGAAGGTCCAGAGTTCAAATCCCAACCCGGGGTCTGTCTGCATGGAGTTTTCATGTTCTCCCTGTGCATGCGTGGGTTCTCTCCGGGTACTCCGACTTCCTCCCATAGTCCAAAAACAAGACTGTTAGGTGGACTGGTCTCTCTAAATTGTCTTTAGGTGTGTGTGTGTGTGTGTGTGTGTGTGTGTGTGTGTGTGTGTGTGTGTGTGTGTGTGTGTGCATTGGGGCTGAATGATTTTGGAAAAAAAATACTAATTGCAATTTTTCTCTTCAATTGATTTCAATTTCATTCACGATTATTTTCT